TCTTTTTGAGTTTTGACCATGTTTGAGAGATCCTGAGATGGTTTAAACCTTATAATCTGTTCTGGTTCTAGGTAATTTGAAGGAAAAGAGGTACTTCTTTAGCCAAAAGAAGTTGAATGACTTTGGAACAAAATGCAAGAGATCCGCTGGTTCTGTACCTTCTGGTTACTGGAAACCCGTTGGGAAAGGCAAGCAAATTGTAGCTTCTGGTAGCAACCAAGCAGTTGGAATAAGGAAAACGCTGGTTTTCAGAGAAAGAAATCATTCTAGCAAGACTAGAACTCAATGGGTGATGCATGAATATTGCCTTGTAGGCTTGCCAACAGACCCCAAAACCACCCAGGTAAAAATATGAAGCAGTTCCTGTATTCTACAATCAATATGAGCAGTTCCAGTGATACTGCATGCATATGGCACGCAGTCGCAACATTGTTTTTTCTATGCAATTAATGGATTTTGTTTATGATACTCTCGTGTGCAGATGAAAGTGGGAGATTGGGTTGCTATCAGTATATTTCACAGGAAGAGGAAACCTAAAAAAAACCATGTGGTCATGATTTCCAACCCTTCAAACATTAACAAGAGGCAAAATGTCGAGATTATTAGTCCTAGTTTCATGGATTTTATGATGGAACAAAGCTCTGATGAAGCTGGTGCTCCTTCACAATGTTCAAGTGGAGTCACCGAGGTTTCTTCTAATGAGTTTGATCAGGAAGAAATCAGTTCCTTCATTAGCCTCTTTTCTTATCCTTGTAAGAGGAAGAGGACTTGAAATTTCCTCCGGAGGAAACTCTGTATCAGATGAATCAGATATTGTACGTGCAACAGTGATCAGAATGACTAAAAATTAAAGGGAAAGGCATTCAATTTGTCCATGGACTTTACATATATTCAGGCCTGTCTATCTAATTCATGAAATTGCTTGTGGTGCTATTTCTTCCCAGCAACTGTGCATGCAGTACATGAAATTTAATATCACATTGATGATTGAGATGGAATAGTTGTAACAATGCAGGGCTATTTATCGTTATCATTTCTGTCAATAAAGCTCTGAAAAGGTTGTCTCATTTAAGCAATTTACTATCAAAAGGTGAACCATTTTCTGAGAAGAATGATGCAAAGTAGGCATAGAAGAGAGGAATCCAAAGTAAAAAGAAAGGTTCTACGCTATCTAAATAATAACTTTGTTATAAAAGTCGATCCTTTATGAACAAGCACATAGAACCATCGATGCCAAAAGATTTATGGTGAAGAAAGGGCATATCTACACATGGGGCTCGATTCTTGGGCGTATTGCAATAAGAGAGTGACATGGCTCCCTCCTGCTCCCTCCTAAAATATGATTCTCTTAATGGTGTTCTCATGACTTTTGTGTTCCCTTGCAATGTTTTGAATCACCAGACCAGAGATTTAAATTAACGAAGAGATTCTCTCATTATTTCATGCTTTTGAATAGTAACTACATTCAAATCAATATGTTGTTCTCCTTCTCATTAAGAGAGGTGTTTGTTGTGTTGGGAAAGGGAACAAGGCACAAATTTTCTTTACTAAATACTTCCAGCCTTGGACGACGCAACCTCTCATGGGGTGATGTGAACAAGATTCCTTGTGTCACCCAGTGAAAGCCAAAAGAAGAGAGACATTTGTGATTATTTTACCATTTCCAATTCCATATTCTAGAAAACAATACCTCTCCACATTAGGTTATGCACATGTAAAATATAAATTTCTCCCACTTTATGTTAAGAGGGAAAAATAAAGTGATCACTAGAGGGTAGAGATTTTGGATCAATTGGTTAGATATGATGCCACAACTTTGATTAGATTATAACAGGCGTGTGATCTTTAAAGAGGGATCACTTTGTAGGAGTGAAAGGAGTAGGGACTCCCTCTAAGTTGGGTCAAAGACACTTCACATGTCACCACATGTAATGTGTATTCACAGGAATGCAATAAAATATTTTGAACAATATTTTTGTGATTAATTATAATAGTTTTATTAATTATTGGGGCAGCCCCAATTGTTTTATTTTTCTAATTGAAATTAAGGCCTATCGTTTAAAAACTTAAATTAATTATACATGAAACAGGGGACTCAATCAAGTCATAATACAACATCAAATATAATCTTACTGAGGTTTAGTGACAATGCAATCATCTCTAGCCATAAAATTTTTGGATAATTCAAAATTTGCTAATCAATTTGTAGCCGTGTTACCTTCGTAAAACACACGTTAAATCTTAAATCACTTATCATCGAGACATCAACTCTTTAGCTCTGGTTATCAAAGCAAAGTTTGCATATTACTGAGGTATGAGATTAACCGACATTGTTAATCTTATGCTGTATTGATGGACTGTTTCGGTGATGCATGAAGCTTCATTGAAGCGATGCACAAGTAAATATCATATCATTGTCATAAATTGTAGTATCAAGTAAGAGATGAATGCTGGAAAGGAACTACAACCTATGGATGTAGGACATCAGCATCACACTTATCTACCCAATTCTTTTCCAAAACCATAGAGTCAGCAAAATACACCCGCTATATCTCCTTGCATCAATCACTGGGCAATTAGTTCTTCAAATTTAGAGCTTTTCTTCTCAAGGGGAATTCAAGCGAATAGATTTTGGGTTGAAGTCTTACATTTTTGTATTGATGAACTGATTGAGACAAATATCTTTCCTTGTCCAGTCATGTAATTTTCACCTTAGATGTAGACTACCTACATTTAGACTAAATAGTATGCCCTCATCACATCATCATGGGTTCAGCTGAAAAGCGTGCGATGTTATGCTACAAAGTTTGATAAAGTAGATCTCATTTGAAAACAACAACAAAATGTCTTGCATTTGTCAAAGAATATCCATCCTTCTGACCAAAATTAAATTTGCCCGCAAGGGGAGGCAATTATTATTATTTTTTTATTAACATGATTTTTCAGCTATCTCAATTAATTTTATAGGTTATAAAATTAATAATTATATATATTTTTAATAATTATTATATTAATAATTATAAAAATCAAACTTGAATTTGGGATAATTATTATATTAATAATTGAACATCAACTTGAGATTAATTTTATAAATTTTAAAATTAATAACTATTTAAATTTTTAATGATGATCATATTAATAATTATAAAATTTGAATTTGAGATAAAAAAACAAAAACAAATTTATTGTTTCCAAGCTCTTACCGGCCGCTATTAGATAGTTGTGCTTGTTTTTTTTGTGAGTGGGATTGGTGGAGAGGGAGTTGGCGGAAGAAGAAACTTGCCGACCGACCAAGGTTGCTTGTAGAAGAGGTTTAAGAATCATTCATTCATCAAAGCAATGAACATTCTGCACGTCACCTACTAAGAAGAGCAAGTGAGAATGTTTTGCAGTTGTACATTGCTGACTTTGATGTCCCTATGTTTTGTCAATAATGGAGGCCTGGTCGTGTAGGTAGGCTACAAGCAATTCGTAACACAGGTCCTTTGTACCTTTTTTACCCGTGAAAGTCAATCACACCAAGAGGTCCTAGTAGTTGTTTTTTCAAAGAAAGAAAGAAAGAAATCTTAATGTAAGTTTCAGGATGATAGTAGGTTCATATGAAGACAAAGTACGTGCGTTTGTTGATGATAATATTAATACCGTATTCCAGAAGTAATAATCTGAGAGCCCACGCAGCCTGCTCTGGGGCCTTTATGGTTAAAAGAGGACAAAGGAATAAAAACGATTGACGAGATTTTTGGCTTGCAGTTTTTGGATCCCAATCCTGATCGAACCTAAACAAAACTGAGAGGACGAATGCTTGTCAGGCCTCAAACGAAATACCAACCCAGCAATTTTCACCATCTCATTAACCCTTGAGCAAACTAAAAGAAAAGTTCTTTGAAAAGATAACATGAAAGAACTTGATGCACTTCATATCCTAGTTATAAGACGTAACTCAAAGGTCAACTCGGCTCAAGGCGGTGTCATGGGTTGCTATATGAATTAACAAGCCATCATGAACTACTAGTTGTCGTGGTTGCGTGGTGTCATGGGTTTATAGAAACAAATTTAAAAATAATATTATAAATCATAATATTTAAAAAAAATTAAATTGTAAAATTAAATTTTTAATCAATTTAATATTAAAAAATAAAATAGATAAATAATTTAAAAAATCATATAAAAAATATTGCAACAATCTATATTGTTTTGTGAGGAAATATACAATTATAATTCTTAACCAATTTAATATAAAAAAATATAAAAATTTATAACAAAAAAATCATGCAGGGAACACTTTAGCAATCAATAATGTTTTAAAAAAAAATACAAAATTAAATTTTAATCAGCTTAGTATAAAAAAATAAATTCAACAATAATAATTTAAAAAAATTAATAAAAAAAATGGAGAAACATCATAATAAAAAAAAAATCATGGAAAAATACTGTACTAATCTACAATGTTTTTTTCTTGCTACAATACTGTAACAATCCACAAAAAAAAAAAATCATATAGAAAAACATTGTTACAATCAACAATGTTTTAGAAAACAACTATAAAAATAAATTCTCAACTAACTTAATATTAAAAAAATAAAATCAATAAAAATTTAAAAAAATACAAAAATATAATTTTGGAAAAAAACAAAAACCAAAAAATAAAACATGCAAGGAAAGCTAAAACTAAATTTTCAACCAGCTTCATATTAAAAAAATAAATTCAACAAATAGAATTTAAAAAAAAAACACATGAAGAAATATTATAGCAAATTAAAAATTATATGGAGAAAATATTATAATAGTATATAATATTTTTTATAAAAAAAACTACAAAACTAAATTCTTAACCAGTTCAAGACAAAAAAAAAAACCTCGAAAATGACCATTTTGGAAAAAATTAATAAAACAAAAAAAAATCATATAAAAAAACATTATAGCAATTTATATTTTTTTTAAATGATATAACTAAATTCTCAACCAGTTTAATATTACCTCGTATCCTTTTTAAGATCATCTTGACAATCTGGTTTTACTACTACATTTGCAATGCCAAGCCTTGAAAATAATATCCTTCCACATTCAGACTGTGGTACAAAAGACGCAGGATTCACGATATAATAGCCCTCAGTTTTTGGATCTCTATTATTCACGAAATTGGCTGGGAGGGTAGAGATGGCACATAATTTTGCCAGGCAAAGAAGGGTTCTAAGAGATAACCACCAGCAATAGCCACCCAGCAGTTTTCAGCTTTCACAACTTCGTTAAAACTAGAGCAAACTAAGAACGGTGTTGAAAGAATCACCTGAAAGAAAGTGCAGGGCATCGTACCTGGCTAGTGCAGCGCCGTACGTCCCTTATCTCTCCCAGGAAATGCCTAGAGTTAAGCCATCACAAAATTCTTAGATGTATACAGTAAGGTTCTATAAAACATAATGACTAGCAGACAAGGTACATGAACCATCATAGGAAAACTGAATGATCGTGGACCAACCACACTGAAAGTACAGTATGGAAAGCAATTAAAATATGATGCCAAAAGAAGGGATCAGGAAACTGCAATTAGATCTCCTCTAAAGGCTAAAGCAGTTCCCAGATTCTTTTATAGGTGGATAACTCCAGTTCCTGTTTCCTATGATAAAATGGTCCACCACTGGCAGATCAGAGACTCTGGTTTTCCAACACAAATATCCCAACAAATCCTTGAAAATAATCTCCTTTCACATTCACAGTGCTATATTGCATCACTAAATCAACACCTAAACAAGGAACATAAAAGACATGCTCATTTCAGTCGTTATGAATTCACACAGTTACATGGTCTCCTGAGCAACCTTTTTGCTAAAAAGGTAGACAATATTGAGGAGCGATCTAAAAGCAAGGGAGCCACGTATAATAAATAGCATGCACTGGATCAAACATGCCATCAGCATGCATAGAAAATACAAAAAGAGTCAATAGTAAATGATGCAATCACAGTTTATGTTGAAAAATCTTTACAATGTGAAGAAACCATTTCAGTTGTTACATGGAAGTGATTGGACGAACTCAAAATATTACCTAAGCATAAATAGACCTAGCAAGACATCACAGACCAAAAAATGCTAAAAAAAACTTGCAATCACAAGCAGCCTTGAGAGTATCTTATGTTCTATCTCACTCATTTCAAAGTCAGCTTGCAGTGTTGAGGCCCTCTTTTTTGTCAACTGCAGAAGCACCAGCTGCGGACATTTTGGAAGGTTGGGATTCAGAACATGCCTTCAGGACAGCTTCATTCTGTGTAAAAGCATGATTCAAGAGATAAGATATGAATATTTACCAAAAGGATTTAAAGGATTCAATGGCATTCATTAAAAATTAAAGAAGAAAGAAAGAGCACAAAAGCATGTGATGCTTCAGATTTTAGTTTGAAAGAGCACAGCAGTAGCAAGTTGTTCTTAGAAAAATATGTCTCTGTCATTTATGGAAGCAAGCGCTAATGTAAAGCTCTAAACTAATCTGAAAGCATCTCAAACAAAATAAAAGCATCAGCATGTTGAATTTGAAAAACAAACTTCAAGTAAGAATAACACAGATGAAATGGTGTAATTGTGTAAAAATAGAAAACAAGTATCTGTATGAACACGGCTTAGTTTTAAGAATACAGAAGCCATATATATATATATATATACACATAAATATATGTATATATTTGTTTTATTGATTTAAGATATATATATATATATATATATATATATATACACACACATAAATATATGTATATATTTGTTTTATTGATTTAAGTGACATGGCTGAAGAAACTAAATTCATGAGTTACATCACGAGGCTCTGGAAGAGAATTGATAGGAAAATGTATAAAGGATAGAAGAAAGCTCAACATGGTCTTTGTAGATAGAAAAGGCATGTAATAAGTACTCGGAAGAACTTTACAGTAAATCATGGAGAAGAAACAGTCTCCATAAAATACATAAAATTTATAAGTGAATACTTTCATTTGACAAAACAAGAATTTGTGGATAGAAAGAAACAAACACACAAAGCTAAAGTGGAGACCAAGTGATCCTTCAAATGAAAAAAATAAAAATAAAGACAATATCCCAAATAAAGATAAATAAAAGAACACGCAAAATCCCTCTGAATATTAGAAATGCCTCTAAATGCAATAGCTACATTAACAAAAACATGAAGGAAAACTATCCTATCCTATAAATGAGGTAAAAGGACCACAAAACGGTATTCCTTGCAATCATTCTCCGTGCCGATGTCCATTAAATATAGAAAAAACATATAACCAGAAATGGGGAAAACCAAAAGTTAGATTTGGGGATCAACGACAACAACAACAACAACAAGAAGAAGCGAATCGAGGTTTTTACGCATTTTTAACTCTACTGAACCTATGAATAAGAGTATTAAGTGTGATTACATTCAATTAATCAAGACTTGTCACTTTAAGTACATACCTACCTGGGTTCGGTTAAAATTCAGTGAAATAATTTATGTTAATGAGAACTTTATGACAAATAAAAATTAGGAAATTGAAGCAAAAATTGAAAACTCTAAGAACATATTAAAACCCTAGGACTGAACATGCGATTTGATTTTTCTTAGACAGAGAAAAAGAAAGACCTGCCAAACCCTAAGGAGGCGTTTCTTGGCGTTGGCCTTACGAGTGGTGGTGAGTTTAATTCGTTTCCAAACAAGACCACCAGAGTCATGCTTCTTCACTATCTCCATAACTCTCGTCCCCCAAAACGCCCCCGCCCCTACCATTCCTCTCTCTCTCTCTGCTTCCTCTTTCTCTTTTAGCTAAGCTACGCAGTTTCTTTCTCTGCTTGCTTTGTGTGCTCGTCTGCCCTGCTGCGCTACACCTAGAGGAGCATGCGAGAGGGAAACGCCGTCGTTTCAGTTAAATGTAGCTGTGTTTTTTTTACCACCATCTTTTCTTTTCTTCGCTTCTTGTTTGTAAATTATATATATATAACCTTTGCTCTGCTGGGTCGATTTATTTTTTTTAATAAAAAACAAAATCAAAGCGATGCAAGTGTTAAAAAAAGCTAAAACAAATTGAGAATGAGGTTATTAACTTAATAGGATTTAATTAACTCCATGATTTAAATAATATAAATAAATAAAAATATGACAATAATAAATAAGAAATTGATAAAAATTTCGATAATAAAAAAAGATTAAAAAAAGAAATCGAGTCCAGCATGTCAAATATATAATCTAATTATAGTATCAGAGTAATCTAATAAAAAAATAAAATAAAATCATAAAACTCAATCTAATATTTAAAGGTGAAGTCTAGAAAAAAATAAAATAAAAAAGCAATGAAAATAAATTTGTGTCAACCCAAGTTATCTCGCCAACCACATGGAAAGAAAAGAAAAGAAAACATAAAAATCAATTCCTAATAAATTAAATATTTAATGATAAAATTAAAAAAAAATTAAAAAAAATCAAAATCAACTCATGCTAGTCTAAAAAACCTGTGATACTGGTCATAAGCCTAAAATGCTAAGATATAAAATTAAAAAAAAAAAAAAAACCCTCCAAAACAAAAGAAATGACAATTAAAATGATGAAAACTAAATTTAATACAAAAATAATATAATATAAAATTTTAATGGGAGGAATTAAAAATAAAATTCAATGAAAAGTGATAAAAAAAACAAAAATAAAAAGAATAAGGATAAAATTTTAAATTTAAATAAAATCAAAGTAAAAGGGATAAAAGAAAAAAGAAAAATTAATCCAAAAGGGAATAAAAAATAAAAAATTTAAAAAATAAGAATTAAATTGTATAAAAAATAAATGAAAGGACACATGGAAAAGTTAAATTGATCCTTATTCACATGTTAAGTTAAATTATTAGCTCTCGTTTATTTACTGAAAAGTAGTTTTATTTTAAAAAGTGAATTATTTTTTGATATTTGGTAATGTAATAGAAAATAAATTGGAAAACACTTTTCAATATTTGGTTATGTCGTAGAAAATGAGTTGCAAAATAACTTATTAATATTTTATTTTTTTCAAGTTTATTAAAATAATGAAAAACAAATCTTTCAAATTAAAAAGTTGAATGAGAATGAAATTGAAAAAAATATAATTTAATAATTTATCTTAAATAAAATAAATAATAATCAAAATAATAGAGATCAAATCTAACAAATAAAAAAATTAAAAGATAAAAAAATTAAAATAACGATAATAACTATTTCATAAATTATTTCAAATAAAATAAGTAGCAATCAAAAGAATGAAAACCAAATTTGATAGATAAAAAATTTCAATTAAAAAAAAAAGAAGCAAATAACAAATATAAAAATAAGGACCAAAGTTTAATACAAAAATTAAATTTTAAAGGATGAAATTGAAAATCAAATATTTAAAATAAAATATAGCAATCAAAAGTGTTGAAGATCAAATTTGATATAATCAGCAAATAATACGACATTTCTAAATTTTTCATAACTTCTGTAAAGTATTTTTTACCTAAATTTTTTATAAAAACACTTTTATGTAAATTAAGCTAAATTTTTCTTTAATTAAAAAGTATTTTTCATTGCCAACTTTTCTAATAACAAATAAACACATAAAAATTTAAAAAATCATTTTTCACCAAACAAACACTTCCTAAATTGTTGTTGAAACACACACATATTAAGTTAAATTGTTATTGAAATAAAAATAATTTGGTTTGTAAAAGTGGAACATATTTTTTCAGCAAATGGAGAAAAATAGATGACTATCATATTGGTAAAATTATTAGAATTTTTGTTACCCCCTTCGTTCCAGTTTTATTGGCATTCGTTAGTTTTGAAAGTCAAGAAATTGACTTCGGTTAATATTTTTAAATTGGTTTTAATAATTAGTATTTTCAAAATTTATGTTTCAGAAAGATTAAGTTTCTATTTTTTAAAATTTTTATCAAAGATAAATTTTTTAAAAAAAAACATGTGAAAAAAGAAAAAAAAAGGCAGTTAGAAATAGATTTGTATAAATACAGCAATTTTTTTTTCTAATAACCCAGAATATCCGACTAATTTATATATCACAGCTAATTTTTAGATTTATTAAATACCTTATAAATCTACTGAGTAAATAAAATATTATGAAATGACAAGCATAAAAAATAAATTAAACTTAAATACAGAGAAAAGTAACAAATTCCTTTCCTGCTACGTCACGATGTGAAAGTGTATAAATATAGCAATTGAAAATAAAGGTGATCGTCAAGCAATGAGAAAACCCAGTTTTTGCATTACACTGCAATTCTCTCTACTTCTTCTCTTATCCTCTTTTCTTGCTTTCTTCTCAAATTACACTTACTCTGTTAAGAGAATTCTTAACAATTGATACCACAGTCAACTTTTTCTGGCCAAAAGAAAGCTGATACTATTAAACAATTAACAATGGTGAAGAATAATCGAATTAAAGCTTTAGAGCATGGAAGGAAGGTTGATGAACAGATGCAACCTATACTCGAGAAACTTCAAGAAATGACAGAGGATCTTAATAAGAAGTTGGATCAAGTCAATTTATAGTTGGAGACTATAATGGTTCCTCTCAGGCAATCATAGGAGGCCAATAAGTTGATAGAGAAGGAAGGACTCACACAGTTCCGAGGAGGTTAATCTCCAACCATAGGGAATCAACCAGTTGAAGGCATGGGAAATCAAGAAGTAGCAAGAGTATGGTACAACGTAGCATTGCATAAGAGCATCTCTAATGCAAAAGGTTAAATTGAGGAACTAAATTGATAAAATAATTTTTTAAATAGTATAAATATATAGTTTTTTTTATTATATGTATTCTAATGATAAAAAACTATTTAGAAAAGTTATTTATATTTTAATATATTTCATGTTAAATTTATTTTTATATAATTATATAACTAGTTTAGATATTTTATATATAATATAATTATGATGATATTAATTATATAATTAATATGATTAATTTATAAAAATAATATAAAATTTAATGAAATAATATGAAAGTTAAAAGATATAATTTAAAATTAAACTTAAAATTTATTTATATGAATATTTTTAATTTTCAGTTTTATATGTTACTGCTAAAAATTTAATTTTTTAAAAGTAAATTCAAATTCAAACTAAAAAAAAAAACCATCAATATTTTAAATTTTCATTTTCATTTTTTTTAAATTAATGCTTTGAAAAAATAACCGCCACTATTTTAAATTTTAAAATTTTAAATTTAAAAAAAATAACCGTCAACATTCTAAGATTTCAAAATTTAAAAAAATAATCCATCTATAAATATTCTCATATATTTTAACATTTTTTCTCATCATTCCATTGTTTTCTCATCATTCCATTGTTTTCTCTCCAATCAAAAATATATTTCATTAAAATTCATCATGAATTATTCTAATTTTAATTTTTATAATACTTTTGATTTTGATGATGACACTCTTGTGTTCGTTTTTCAAGTTATTGTTGATGTGGTTGCTGAAGAAGAATCGAATAATTAAGGGCAGAGAATAGGGTATCGTGGCTCTATTCTTGGCCACAATATTATCAATCGTAATAGAAAGGAAGGTGAGTTAAGGTTATATAATGATTATTTTGCTGAAAATCCTAAATTCATTGAAACTCAATTTCAAAAAAGATTTAGAATGAGTCATTGTTTTTTCCTTTAGATAGCAAATGCAATTGAAACTCATAATCTATATTTCAAACCAAGGACAAATGTTTTTAGTATTCTTGGTTTATCTTATCTTCAAAAGGTAACTGCAATTCACAGAATACTTGCATATGGTATTCTTGCAGATCTTACTGATAAATATCTTCAAATTGGAGAAAGCACTGTAATAGAAAGTCTTAGAGTTTTCGTCAAAGCAATCGTAGAAGTTTTTGGTTATTGGTAACTAAGAGCACCAAACAAGACTGATATTTGTCGATTATTATCAATTAGAGAGCAGCGTGGATTTCTAGGGATATTAGGGAGCATTGATTGTATGCATTGGAAATGGAAGAAATGCCCAATTGCATGGCATGGGATGTATATTGGTCATTATCGTGAACCAACTATAATTCTAAAAGCAGTGGCTTCACAAGATCTTTGAATATGACATGTCTTTTTTGGAATGCCTGGATCATTAAATGATATTAATATTCTTGATCAGTCACTGTTGCGATGTCGTGGTCGCACAAATTAATTACCCTAGCTTAAAACACAACACACAAGATAGTATAGAGCAAGCAAGGGGTCGATCCCACAAGGAAGATTTAGTTCAGATTTTTATGTTATACGTTATGCAATTGGGGGGTTTTGATTTGTGATGATCTAAACTATGGAAGAAATTAAACTAGCAAACAAAATCAATTGAAATCGAAATTTATCAAGAAAACAAACCTTGGTTGCAAGCACATATCCACCAACGAAAATTAGAACCGATCCTTGAAACAAAATTACAATTTATATTCTAAATTTTTATCTTTTCTTAATGTTGGTTAATTAACGGATCCACCGTATAACTAACCCTAACCAATAAACAATCACAATGTCCGCATTAATGATTTAGTTCAATGGCAGCCCTAAGAACTAGATATTTGAGTGTTCTCCCTAAGTTTAATAATGTAGTTCCGCCACAATTATCAAGCTTAGTTGCTTCACAAGTTCATACATCACAACTCCGGTTTTGATATCAAACTTAGCAATAAATTGTTCACAATAATAACTTAGAGTTCCGCTCTAGCAATTATCAACAACAACCATAGAAAATATGCATAGGAAAACAACCATACTTATTCATAATATAAACTGAAAATAAAAGGAAGAATAAATCTCACGGTTCTTGAAATTCAAAGGTTTGTTGTGTCCTTGCAACCAAGAAAAGAGCTTAACCTTGCATAACCATT